ATTGGAAGCCTACTCTATGTGACCGCATCAAGGCCGAATGTGATGTTTAGTGTATGCATGCATGCTAGATTTCAAGCCTCACCAAGAGAGAGTCATTTGAAGGCAACTAAGAGAATATTGAGGCACTTGAAGCATACATAAAATGTTGGATTGTGGTATCCCAAAGGAGCAAGATTTGAGTTGATTGGATATTCGGACTCCGATTATGCGGGATGCAAAGTGAAGAGAAAGGGCACATCTGGCACATGTCAATTATTAGGAAGATCACTTGTATCTTGGTCATCAAAGAAACAAAATAGTATAGCACTTTCAATTGCCGAAGCAGAGTATATTTCGGCCGGTAGTTGTTGTACTCAATTACTTTGGATGAAAGCTACCTTGAATGATTTTGGAATTAAGTTCAAACAAGTGCCATTGCTATGTGACAATGAGAGTGCCATGAAGCTCACCAACAATCCGGTTCAACATTCAAGAACAAAGCAATAGATGTTTACCATCATTTTATAAGAGATCATCAATAAAAAGGGGACATTTGCATTGAAAGTGTGGGTACCGATGATCAACTTGCCGATATCTTCACCAAGCCACTTGATGAGAAAGGTTTTGCAAGCTAAGGAATGAATTGAACATACTTGACTTCTCCAATATGTGTTTATGCACCCCCCATATATGACATGCCTCTCCTTCGAGCAAAGCAAGGTAAAGTTGATTGACATGTCATTCATCCATTTCTAAGGATTTGTTTAGTGCATCTAGTCATTCCTCACATGTCTTAGGTCCTTTCATACAAATCAAATGAATTTGATGCTTATATGATACCACTATTGCTTCTATGCTTGAAATGATCTAGTGGTAGCATATGACATGTTTGTGGGCTTATGAACCTAGTGTTTAATCTAGAGAATGAGCTATAAGTGTTTAACTCAATATGGTACAAGATAACCCTTATTTGGAGGTGTGAAGAAGCTTGTCCTTGGATCAAACCGAGTTAAATATCTTTTGCAAGTGATCTAGATTGAACCAAATATGGGAAAATGACCCTCACTTAACATGGTTTCACCCCAACCTATCTAAAATTTGAGCTCACCTTTTGTGCTAATTGTTGACAAAGGGGGAGAGGAATTGAAACGATCCACGATTTCCTCGAAGGGAAATCCACAGGTTACATCATAATGTGATAGTCTAGGAAGACCAAGCTATCATATTATCATTATTCAGATGATACCATAGTTTATACATCACAGAATTACAAGTTTACAAGGTATTACAACACTTGATATCACACCTAAGTACAACGCATACTAGTGGAAACGCACATAGATCAGAGTGGACGTAGCGCATCGATGGGTAAAGGCTCCTCCTTCATGGGCAATCATCAAAGTTGGCATAGAAGTCAGTGGGCGTAGACTTCATCTCCTCAACCAAACTTGAGAGCAGGAACGAGACCATCTAGTCCTCCTAATCTCTGTTGTCATCGTCGTTGAAGACATCCGAACCTGCCAAATATCTTTCAGTACGATTTGTACTAGCCACTGGCTCCCACCCTATGCTTTGTGTTTGCTTTGTGGTAAGTGGAATGCAAGGGTAAAGCAAAAGACCTATTTATGGCTGTAGTTTTCCTATACAAGTTCATCAATATTTTATAATAATTCATCAAGTTTAACCCATCTCATCCACATGTTCACCCATCCCATCACACACATCTCACCACACTCTCACTCTCTAGGCGGCAAGGATGACTCCCTCTCGTACCTTGCCTCAACGGCCAAAGCCAGAATCCAACAACAAACCCAGGGGGAAGAAGAAGAAAGGACTCCTCTCACTAATCAAGGGAAGCGTAGGTCATAGGAATGTCCACATCCGAAGACACGGCTATACGTATAGATCGGTCAACACTGCAGAGCTTATACACCTGGAACCATAAGATCACCATCATCGGCGGTGCCCCGCCTAGGCTAATATTGAGCTACCTTCCAACCGGTGCGATGCCACCCTACCACTTAGCCCTAGGCCACCCCGGAGTCCACCGGCACGCTGAGACTATGAGACGTAGTACCGGGCCCCAGAGGTCACTACGCTATCTTAAGAGGGTGTGTGTCCCATGCTCGTACCTCCCTACACTATCTGCTAACAACCTAGTAGTAGTGGCACCGTCCTAGCTGGTCAGCATCCGTCCTTCGCCCATTCAAGAACGAGTGCTGTGCATGTAGGGTCCTATGATCCGGTTCGCTCGACATACCAGCCCTTAGAGGGACTAGACAGGACATCTTCTCAAAGGGGATAACCAACACCCCATGTCTCAATGGCACCTCCATCCCGGGGCTTCATCCCACAGAGACACTCCACCCCGAGACCTTCTCATCTCACATGTACCCGCCACAAGTACCTCTCGTAGGGCATGCCCAGGTCGCACCCCCCTGGCAAGACTCGTCCCATGACTCATCGTAGGATCATGTCTGGTCGACTCAACCCTCACCACACACCCAAAACGCACGCCAAGATCTGCCCAAGTTATCACCAGTTTTAGCGGCACCATATGCCTTAGCCACTCACAAACAATCCTCCACCAAGCATCACATCACAGATATAATGCGTAGTAGAAGTAGTAGTAAGTAATAAGCGAGCGTCTAGCCTATCAGCGGGTGTGCAGGACTAAAGGTTGTGACAAGGTAAAGGCTTCAAGCAACTCTACCATGCAACCTATCATAGTTCATTTGAAGAAAATAAAGCACTAGCAGCTACATTATTGCATGCCTAATAGGATTCTATGAGGTTGGGTGGGACGTGGCACCTGTTGATTGGTCATCTCTGAGATCTTCAGTGTACTCGCAATTGATCTCTTCAAAGTCCTATTGTCGTCCGTGTTTCCTTCCTCCAACGGGTTCCGGTCCGATCAACGCTATCCTCGATGCAACTACATCGATAGAGCGACAAATAAGCCAATAAGCAATCAATACTCCAAAAAGGCCAAGACACAGAAAGAACAGACAACACTGAAAGAACACCAAGGGGAAAATGGCTTAGCCCTGTCGGCCGATGTCCGATTCCTGGGCCAAAAGAAATAGGAGTGGCTGTTCATTAACCAAAAGTTCAAGTCATAGCCTAGCCAGTACTTCCTAAGCCGATCGTGTCGACCTGTACGGCTTCAAGTAAAATGGCCTAGACCCTAGCCCAGCTTAAGCAAACACCACGGGAAAACAAGGCTAGCCCTCACGAAGCGAGTCTGTTTTCCTCAGGCTAAAAAGGGGCGAGGGAGAAAGTCAGCTAGGCATGTCCATGTCTTATCCTCAGTAGAGATGGCACTCTAATGGTCGATCGGTCGACTCACATGGTTCCGAGAACACGACGCAGATGTTAGCTTTGCTAACTAGAAGTGGTAGTCCGATCTTTGATCTGATCATCATGGTTAAAGACAGGATCGAACAGAGCGGGCTAAGGGGAAAAGGAAGCAGTTCCTATCTCTCTCAATCCGTACGCCATTGAATCAGCGAGAACCGAAGAGAGGGTGGAACAGGAGGAGAAAGGGAGGGGCAGTGGTTAACCTCTTCCAATTCACACGTCAAGGCAACAGACGGGGCATCGGAAGGAGCGAAACACAAGAGAACACCAACGAGAAGACAAACGCTCAATTCCACTTGTAGGGTACCACAACATAGGTGCGCTAAATGGCACTAGACACCCCTAGGGATCTTAGCGGTGCGGTTGTCACCGCGAGAACCTAAGGAATGCTATGGTCTATAATAGGTACAAGCTTACAAGGGCTCAAGCACGAAAGAACCAAAAGAGGGGAGCACGGGGTTCACCTTCCTTTGATCCAATCGCCGTAGCAGTTGACGGGAATCAAAGGAAAGGAAACAAGAGGGCAACAAATGAACACCAAAAGGGTGCAAACAAGTGAAAAGGGATTTTGGTTCCACGGCACTTCGATCCACATGCCATGTCAACTGACAGGAATCGAAGAAGTTGGAACAAGAGGGCTCAATCTACATCTTACTGGATCGACGAGGATTGAAAGAGAGAACAAGGGAAGAGAGAAGAATGGTCCCGCATTCCTTCAACCTGATGGAGATTGATAGAATAGAGACACAAATCCCGCGGTCTCTCGATCTACACCAACTCGTAGGGACCACGACCTATGTGCAACTAAATTGGCACTATGGAATTCCTAAGGCTCGTAGTGGTGCGGTTGTCACCACGAGAACTGAAGAAACGCTACGGTCAATGTGGCACAAGCATACAAGATGGTTAGGAAGAACAAAAGAGCAAGGAGAGCAAAAGAGCAAAAGAGGTAGAGCCCGATGGTCATGGCGAGGCAACTCGCGGCCATGAGATGTACCTACACGAGTTGGCTTCCGTAAGTTCCACGATGGTCGGCCCCTAGTTCGTCTTCTATAGACTAGGTCATGATGGGCTCATCGTGTGCGGGTAGGAAGCGCACCGATATCGAGCCCATGGTGGCCATGTCCTAGAGCCGTAGGAGGGGGCAATGAACACGCACTACGAAGTCAACTAAAAACGAGGGGTCGAGTTACGCTTGGCATCACGGCCATGGCGGGGCGAACCCATGACTAAAACGTTCGAACGGGTACGATCCCTCGACCGGCTCAAAGGCTCGGTCCACAGGCAACAACACAAACACACAACGAACCACAACACAAACGACAACTAGAGGAGTGGCACATATCCATAGCAAGAGACAGACACCATAGCATAAGAGATAGACCGGCATGAAGGCACGGCACAGGCATAGATAGATAGATAGATCATGTTTGACAAGTATGAATGAAGATATGAAGATGTATGATCAAGTATGAATGAGATGTATGAACATGTATGAATGAGATGTATGAACAAGTATTGATGATGATAAAAAGATGTTTTTGTCGACGTCGGGTACGGCGCTGGCAAAGGTTGGAGGAGTTCGACCGTGCTGTGAAGACGAGGATGGGCACGGGTGAGCTGCAGGCTTGCTACTGCCACTCTTGACTGGCTGCTGCTTGCTATTGGCTGGCTGCAGCTTGCTGCGGCTTGGCTGCGGCTTGCTGCGGAAGCCAGGAGGTGGTCAGGGGTGGCGACGGAGCTCCAACGATGACACAGCAGGGCTGCAGCTCCCCTGTGTCAGTGAAAACAGCGGCACGAAGGCCAACCGTCAGACAAGAACAGCGGCAAGGTCATCGGAAGGGAGGAAAAGGTGGAGCCTTGGGCTTTGGGAGCTCACCGGCGATGGAGAGGAGCTGCCCCGACGAGGTGCTGCTGTCTGGCGAGGACGAAGAGGTGGTGTTGGCGAGGGCGAGGGCGTGGCGTCCTAGTCGCGGTACAGCTCGGCGAAGAGCTCGGGGCGGATGAGAGGCAAAGGTGGGCTCCCGGCGGTGACGGGCGCAGGCAGACGACGAGGAGGTGCTCCTGGGCGTTGGTGCCACAGATGTGCGGCTCGGCCTGGTGAGCAGCGCCGCAGCGGTGACCTTCCCGGCTCGGCGAACAGAAAAGGCGTGGCCTTGGACTCCACGGAGGCGGGGCTGAGGTGGCACGCCGGCGAGACGGGGGCAACGCAGTCGCTGCTCGACGAGGACGGAGGTGGAGCACGGTGGTGTGGATGACGTCGCAGGGGCGAGGTAGGGCGCGTCGGTGAAGGAGTCCGACGGCGCGGATGACGACGTCGTGGCCTCGGCGGTGACACGACGGTGGAGGCGTGGGTCCTCGGTGGCGAGGAGTGGAGGCGCGGTGGGCGACGTCGCAGCCCTGGACGGCGAGGCGCGTTCGCATGGGAGGTGGCAGTGCGTGGCTGCCATGCCTGTCGGCGAGGTGACCACAGCGAGCTTGGACGAAGGCACGGCGAGGCGAGGACGTGGTTGGCCGCGGCGCGGATGTGGCGAGGGCGCGACAGTGCATGGCCCGGCGTGACGCGAAGTCGTGGCGAGGACAACGGAGCGGACACCGCGGGGCTGGAGCAGGAGCTCGGGGTGGTCAATGCGGTGGTGGCTCGGTGAGGTGCTTGGCGTGCTGGGGTCAAGGACGGCGGGTGGCGCCATCGTCGGTGCGGGTGGAGGGCCGGCGGGGCGAGGCTGGTGCACGACGGCGAGGCGAGGAAGGACGCCGTCGTTGTGGTTGTCTCCACGGGCGAGCAGGAAGGGTGGGAGAGGGAGTAGGTAGGAGTGGCAGCGGCTACAGGGAGAGACAGGAGCGGCGATGGCGGCCGTGGCTCTTATAGTTATAGCGGCGCCAGGCTAGGGTTTCTAGGGGATCCGTCCATCCTAGGCGTCCGTGTGGCTCTGGGACATGCGGCGTTCATCCTGCGGGCGGTGGTACGGACACCGAGGCACGGATGGGACAGCAGGCGGCGACGGCGATCTCCTAGGAGCGTGTCCGCGCGGCGCTAGGGATTGGGCGCGGGTTGGCCGTGACTTGGGCCAGGTGGGCTGCTGGTGCACGTGTTGGGCCTGCGGGTGGCGCTGGTCTTCGGGCTGCGCTGCTAGGCTGCGCGCGGGCAGGGCCTGCTACGGCTCCGAGCTGGGCCTGCGGCGCGGAGTGGGCTGGAGGCGGGGACTGGTGATGGCGCTGGGCCTGCGGATGGAGAGGGAGAGGCGAGCGGGCCTTGCGCCCGGTGTTGGGCCAGAAGGCCGGCTGGGCCGCGCGAAGGGGAAAAAGGAGCGGTGGGCTGGTTTTGAAAGGAAAAAGGAAAAGGAGAATGGATTTTCCTTTTAGGAATTTTGACTTAGGGAATTTGGAACAAATTCAAAAAAAAAGGATTTGGGAGGGAATCAAATGGGGATTCGAGATGGATTTAAGAGAGACTTGAGAGGAATTCAAGGAGATGAGGAGAAAGGATTTTTCTCTAATTCCTTGCTAGGGAAAAGATAGGAGGTTTTCCCATTTATGGTTCAAGGAATTTAAGAGATATTCAAAAGAGATTTGAGGGGAATTCAAATGACATTGAGAGGAACTTTGCTACAGATTTGTGCACTCCAAACTCCAAAACTCAAGACACAAAAACAACTCAAGAACAAGGGCACTCTCTACAAACAAATCTATATGAATGCAACAACTTGTTGGTAAGCTCCCCTAGGTTTGACTAAGGTTTGACCTAGAGACTACATGCTCCACACATTATAGGAAAATTTTTAAAAAGTTCATATTTTTTGGTTGCACAAAAACTCAGGTTGTTACAGAAATTGACAAAGATAGTAAGAGATAGGGGATCAAACAAATGAAATGATATTGTAAAGGGATCAATTAAAAACTTAAAGCATACAAGTAGAGGGAGCAAGCTTATAAACTTGTATGTTGCATTTGAGTGTGCATTACATATGTTTGTTTGCATGGCACAAGTTCTTAAATTCACTATCCATGCTTGTGTGGTGTATGCTAGATTATAGAAAATGATTGATGAAATGAAAACTAGCATGCATAGGATAGCTAGATACACCATGATCTTTTTACAAGTGGTATTAGAACCTTGCCTCTAATGTTGATCTCACGAGGTATCTAGTTTGTCTTTGCTTTTCAAGTGGTATCTAGCAAACCATGGTACTAAGGATGGTGTTCAAATGGTAACTTCGATTGGTATCACGCTTCAAAGGTCCATTCTTTACACCTTAACATCATTTGGTAACTATTACTCTCCCAAACTTCTAATCCATGCATATGTGCAAGCTTTCAAATCCAAACTCTTAGCACATATGTAGGGGAGAGCTAATACTACCAATTTGGGTTCATGAAACTTGTCCATAACCTTTACACATGGTAATATGTTTGGGCAAGCAACATGAATCCAAAAAGATTTCATTGAATATCTTTGTGAAAAGGTTGTCATCAATTACCAAAAATGGGGGAGATTGAAAGCCCTAGTTTGGTTTTGAATAATTGATGAAACCTAGGACTAACCTTTGATCTAAGTGTGTGAATTAGACAAGGTGGTCCAATTCAAGTGATAAAGCAAGATGAGGTCCAAGGAGTTGAAGATGGACATGAGATGATGGTGATCAAGCTCAACATGGAAAAGAAGAAAGAGAAAAACAAAACCAAGGAGATCAAGGCAAAGGTATAAGATAGGTTTTGTTTTTGGTGATCAAGACACTATAGAGAGTGTGATCATGTTTAGGATTAATAGCCGTACTATAAAGAGGGGAAATATTTGGTTAAGTGGTTATCGAGTGCCACTAGGTGACATTGTTCTTGCATATGCATTTAGGAACCTAGTGTGCTAACTTTGACCCATGAAAAATTCTTTGAAAAATGTTAACACACGTGCACACAAGTTCTACACTTTGTGGTTAGCAAGTTGGAAGCAAGGGTGAAGTGATAGCGGACTTAGAAAAAAGAAAAGGAGGAGTCGCACTGTGACCGGACGCTGGCCATGTCCTGACCGGACGCTGGTAGCTGAGTCCGGTTAATTATAGCGAGGAGGCAGTGACTGGCCGAGAGGGCTGAGGAACGACCGGGCGCTGGGGCTAGCTACACTGGCGCGTCCGATCACTTTTTCAGAGGAGGTGCTTTGGCGCGACCGGACACGCAGGGGCCGCGCCAGGTCATTGATGATGTACGCTGGCGTCATCCTCTCGGTCGAGCACAAAGAAGAGCGGACGCACTGGCGCTACCGATCACCCTTGACCTGACGCGTCCGGTCATCAACCCTCTCGGGGTGCTTACTGGACTCAACCGGACCCTACCTTGAGCCGCGTCAGGTAGGTTTGAGCAGCGCGTCCGATCATCTCTTAATTGTGCGAGTAGAATCATTTTGACCATTATGATCTGATGGCTGAGGTTTGAACTATGGACACGTGGCAACCATCAGAGCGATCAGACGCTGGCAACCGGACACAGGGCTAAGTCTGGTCAGTCCGTTCGGTCAGTCCGAGAGTGCCCAACGGCTCTTTGAGACTTGGGGCTCTACAAAAAGGAAGGTACCAGCTTGGGGCTCACCCTCTTGGCACTTTGACATACTTGACATCCTTGTGAGCCTAGGCAAACACCTCCCACTCATCTCCATCTTTGATTCATCATCATAGTGATATTGTGAGTGATTTCAAGTGCATTTGCTTGAGTGATAGCATCTAGTGGCACTTGGGGATCGTTGTTGCTGTGGAGTTCTTGTTACTCTTGGTGGTTGTCGCCACCTAGATGGCTTGGAGCAGCGGAGGAGCATCGGCACGAGTTGGTGATTGTTCGTGACCGTCTCCCAGTGATTGTGGGGGGTCTTGTACCTTCCCGACGAGAGCCGAAAGGTAACTCTAGTGGATTGCTTGTGTCATTGAGTTACCTCACTTGTGGGTAGGTTATTGCGGTGTTCAATTATGAGGATGAGGTTCGTGCAACACCTCTTAGCCGTCGAACCACCAAGTGTTGGTCGACACAACGGGGACTAGCGTGCTGGTAAGCACGTGAACCTCGGGAGAAAAATTAGTGTCACTTGTCTCTTGGATTTCTCCCTGTGATTGATTGGTATTCATCTTGTGATTGGTTCATTCCTCGACGTGGCGGTATAATCTTCTTACTCACTCCGTTACTTTCCCATAAACTAGTTGTAGCAAGCTCTTTAGTATAGCTAGAATTAGGAGCTTGCATTGTAGCTTAAGTTCATCTAGTGGAGCTCTTTAGTATAGCCTTGTTGAGAGCTCTTAGTGAGTAGTAACCTAGCCTTGTTGTGTGCCTAGTGATCATAGCAACTAGAATTGTTGGGATAGGTAGCTTGCAACCCTTGTAGAGCTAGAGCAAAATTGCATTACGCCATTTGTTGTATTAATCAATTGCTCTAGTGGTTTTGTAAAGTTTTTAATAGGCTATTCACCCCATCTAGCCATATTAGGACCTTTCACCTATGTAGGTACACAAGTGGATGGAGCTTGAAGGCCTGCTCACCTAAGCCCCTTGAACTTAGACCGAAGATTGCAGAAAACATCTCAAGCTCAAGAACGACTCACCGAGCACGAACGAAGAGTCACGCAAATGCGCTCCCCAAAACTTGATCGATCGCCTGCCTACCTGTGCAGGCACACAAGCGGACGAAGCTTCGAAGGTCTACTCACCCAAGCCCGTTGAACTCAAATCGAAGATTGCAGAACAACTCAAGATCAAGAACGACTCGTCGAGAACAAACGAAGAGTCACGCAAATGCGCTCCCCAAAACTTGATCGACCACTTGCCTACCTATGCAAGCACAAAAGTGGACGGAGCTTCAGAGGTCTGCTCACCCAAGCCCGTTAAACTCATATCGAAGATCGCAGAGAACAACTCAAGCTCAAGACAACTCGCCAAGAATGGACGAAGAGCAGTCGTGCAAATGTGCTCCGCCTACCTTTGCAGGTACACAAGCAGACGGAGCTTTGGAGGCCTACTCACCTAAGCCCCTTGAACTCGGACCGGAGATCACAAAGAACATCTCAAGCTCAAGAATGACTCACCGGGAACGGACGAAGAGCAGTCGTGCAAATGCGCTCCCCAAAACTTGATCGACTGCCTACGCCTACCTGTGCAGGTACACAAGCGGACGGAGCTTTGGAGGTTTGCTCACCCAAGCCTATTGAACTCGCATCGAAGATCGTAGAGAACAGCTCAAGCTCAAGAACGACTCGCCGAGAATGAATGAAGAGCAGTCGCGCAGATGTGCTCTGCCTACCTGTGTAGGTACACAAGCGGACAGAGCTTCGGAGGCCTTGAGGAGGAAGGTGAAGTGTATGCTGGAAGGAGAAAGGCCTCCACACACAAGGGGATGAACCTGGATGGGTTCCTGGAGGGTTAGAGTGGTAACTTCACGTCTGGACCATTGCAGCATGTCCAGCCACGGCCACGGCCCCACGTGGCTGGGCACGACACGGCGATGTGCGCGTGTGGTCACCCAACTCTCCTCAACTTGTCTAAAGGAGCACTCACTGGCTTTCTATTTAAGTTGAGCACCTTTCTAATGAGTATATAGTACTAATCCTATTCTTACTTAGCATTTATAATGGGCCTTTGAAATTGTTTGGTTAATTGCTAAACGAGTTATTGGCTAAAGCCAATTAATCCAACAGTTGGGTGATCGTGTATCGTATTTAGGAGTGGTTGGGTGGTCGTGTTTCGTATGTATATTATTATTATTATTACTACTTATACTTATTTAAGCGTGGTTGGGTGGCCGTGTTTTTTTATTTAGGCCTTATTTAGATTGCAAGTTTTTTCACTCTCTTTCCATCACATCAAATCTTTAGACACATGCATGGAGTATTAAATGTAGATAAAAAAAATAACTAATTACACAGTTTGATTGTAAATTACGAGACGAATCTTTTGAGCCTAGTTAGACCATGATTGGACAATAATTGTCAAATATAAATGAAAATGCTACAGTGTCAAATACTGATTACTAACCCCAGTCTAAACAAGACTCACTGCTATTTTTTTTTGCCTCTAGTCGCTGCAGGGATAAAATTGAGTGATTGACAAGACATGCCAACGCCAAACAGTTCATACAGGGACAAAGAAGAAAGCGATTTCAGCAGCACGCTTTATCTAAAAACGCCAAACATTAACCACGTGCTCAGTTTTTTAAGAAAAGGCCATGCGCCAGTTGTCCAAACAAGATACAAGTTTTGTCCTGTCAGTGACCAGAACGAAGGCGTCCAACGCACCAAGAGGCAACAGACCTGAGAATTGCGACGGGTCCGGCAATGGCTGCATGCGCAGCATCAGAAACCACCACGGGCAGCAGCGAGGGCAGCTTCGTACTGAGCACCAGACACGCAGCGCCATCTCCCCACGCCCTCGCGGACGTTCTCGCTGTCGTCTTCCCGGTCACGGAAGGTGTCCCGGTCGTCCTTGGCGTTCATGAAGCCAGTCCAGAACAGCTCCGCCTTCCACTCCTCCATGCGCGGGAGGTCCGAGTGCCTGTACACGAACTCCCAGATCTCCTGATGACGACCAACCAAATCAACAAGAGAGCAAGAAGCTTGTCAGCTCGAGATTGTGTGTGACCAGACCACCGGAGAATGTTAGCAATATATACACTGCGATCGAAGGCGGGGATGTCGTGCGTGTGGTAGGTCGGCACGCCGGCCATCTCCCTGGCACGGTAGTCCTCCTGCACCGCCCGGAGCATGTCCTCCTCCGGCGGCAGCGCCACCTTCCCAGCCAGCACCAGCGCGACCCACCTCGCCTGGGCCTCGAAGAGCCACGGCGCGAACACCCGCATGGGGACGCCGACGAACGACAGCGACGGCGCGAGCGCCGGCGGGAACGTGTGTTCGTACAGCGGGCCGACGCGGTTGTCGCGGACGGTGACCAGCCCGTCCCCCATGTCGAGGAACGGGAACGAGTAGGTGTACCCCGTGCAGTAGATGACAGCGTCGGCGGCGACGCGGCAGCCGTCGGCGAACACCACCGTCCGCCCGTCCTCGCACAGCCGGTCCACCTGCGGGTGCAGGTGGATGTCGGAGTGGTTGGCCAGGATCTTGGACAGCATCGGCGGCGGCGTCGTGGCCGCCTCCACGGACCTCGCCACGAGGTGGACCTCCTTGGCGACGCCGCAGAGCTCCGTCGCGATGTCCATGCCGCTGTCGCCGCAGCCGACCACCACCACCGCCTCGCCGCGGAAGGGGCCCGGCTCCCGGTACGAGTGGCTGTGCAGCTGCCGCCGCTGCCACGTGTCCATTCCTGCGATGCTTGGCAGGCTTGGCTGCGAGTAATGGCCGTTGGCCACGACCACGGCGTCGAACACCTCCTCCACGGCCACCTCTGCTGCTTCGCCGCCGCCGCCGTCAGGCTCGACGTGTACAGATCTCACCTTCCATTTCACGTCAGAGTAGCCACCTCCGCTGCGACTGCGAGCGTCGTCGCGTGACGGCGGCGGCGCCTGCATGGCGATCCGCACGACCCTGGTGTTGAGCCTGATGTGGTCCGCGAGGCCGAACGCCTCGCAGAAGTCCCTGAGGTAGCAGTACACCTCGCGGTGGCCCGGGAAGCGGCGGGCGTCGCGGTCGCGGCCGCCGGCGCCGGGCCTGGGCACGAACTGGAAGTCGGAGAAGCCCATGCACTCGCGCGGGCTGATCACCCGCGCCGACGCGTACATGCTGCTGTGCACCTTCACCGGCGCCTTGGCTCCGAGCGGGTCGTCGCCGTCGGTCCGCGGGTCGTACAGCCACTGCCCGCCGACGTCGCCGCTCTGCTCCATAACCGTGACGGCGTGGCCCTCGCGCCGCAGCTCGCGGGCCGCCGCCAGCCCGGACATGCCCGCCCCGACCACGCACACCTCTCTCCGCCTGTAGCTACCCATACCTATCTTCTACTTACAAGAGTGAAGACTGGCGCAATAGCTAGCTGCGATCAACAATTCAACATCCCTTAAGCTTGCTTGCCATTGAACTCTAGAACATAAGGCATAGCAATGACAGGAATACATCAGCAAATATGACGGCAACATTATAACCATTGAATATACAATACAGCACTCAATATGCATGGTTCACACTTCCACATCATCCATTTAATATATCGATATTCATTGGTTCAAATGTTTAGCAAGCAAACTAGCATGCATTCCATTGGTTCACAGACCACACAATGACACAAATGTTGCGTAAACTACAAATTCCAACGCTTCTGGTATCTGGTACGGTGGCATTGTAACTTGCTTCTTCTTCATCTTTTTCCCTTGTCCCTTTGTCTTAATTTTATCCTTTTTCTCTACTCTAGGCGCCATGGACACTACTGGTGGTGGTATGCTTTCAGTCGTCTTTCACATAAAGTGAACAAAGGGTACTAAATATATGGAAAATGGCTCAGGTTGGTTTGAGCCACTTTCTGACCTGCATGTGAGTGAGTTTGACACTTTTACACAATAATATTAAGAATGCCATAATCAAATGTTGCAAAACAAAACTAGAAAAAAATGTTAGCAAGAGGGAAAATGTTAGCTTTATTGTTATGTTATCCTTCATTGTGAAGCATGTATAGGATTTTTTGTTTGAGGAGCCACTCAATCTTAGATGAGGTGGTGCATCATGAGTTCATTTTCAAAATTTGGTGGAATAATTCCAGTCCTCATACTAGTACTAATTATTGACTTGTGAGAAATGATGTGACAATGCATCAACCTATTTCATTCTACAAACCAAACAGAAAAAAGTGAGGAATGAGTAGATGATGGATCACCTCACTCCTCAAACCAAACACACCCTTCATCTTTCTTCCTCGAACAATATGCCCTGACTCTCCCTAGGTCACCCTTTTCAACATTAAACTCAAATTCATATTTGATAGTGTGCTGAGATAGCGCAAACCATAAACTCATGCATGTTGGGAACTTGAGATATATACTGGCATACTGCCTACATCCATTGGAAGATCTTCTTTGTCATAAGCTATCTTTGGAGGAAGAAAGGCACCATGTACATCTACAGGAAAAAAGAGAGGGAAATGGAGTCTGGAATCCACAATTGTCAGTAAAGCCCTAGTGGATGGATAATATGGTTCTAGTAGCTTTCATCTTTTACTTTGATAGAGATTAACATTAACTCGTAGCGCAATGATTTAGTCTTCACCTAATCCAATGGCACAGCATGAGACCACTTGTGTTTAAGGACAGATTTTACTCACCCCTTCCAGGATGATGCCGGCGTCGCTGAGGCGATCCCCAACGCTCCTACGTGTCCTGTAGCCTCAACCTTACCCACCTGACAAAAGTAGCCAACTCATCTTGCTAGTAGCTTGTAGAGATGTCAGATTCGCCTGCAGAAATAATGCTGACATAAAGCATGAAGCTACTAGTTTTGTGAGAGAGCAAAAAAAAAAAGAAGGTAAAAGTAACCTGCTGAGAGGAGAGAGAAGAGGGATAGGGGCACTGAAAAAAAAAAAAGAAACTGCTGCAGGCTGCGCGCTCCGGTACGATCAGCAGCGCAAACTGGCCCGGCTAACTTCAACGGCCCAGAATAGCACCTCCAGGCTCCTACCAAACCCGGCCTGCTACGCCGCGCAGTTCTTCTCCCGCACACCTGTAAGGCCTTTTTAAAAAAAAACAAGAAAAGAACCGGATTCCCTGGCCTATCCATATTGATGGGCTAAGATGGGCGCATGGCATGTGGTCCGAGGATTAAGCCCAATCAGGTATCGATCTGGGCCTCACCGGGCTGAGTTGGTGGTGGTGCTATTACCGGAGCTGAAAGTGTTTTTCTATTGAACGGACCTGAGTCAGTTCAGTTTTAAGACTGGTCACTGGTATGTCTCCTATTTTTTTTTCCAATTCATCCATGCAGTGAGAGGATAGAATGAGTAATCTTTAGCAAATTGATTTGCAGCTCATCAATATATACTCAACATAACACAAGCTGGAGACTATAAGCTGGAGACACAAGCTGGAGATCAATATATGCAGCATGTGGGGATCGAGGCCTCCTACCACCACAAGAAGCATGGAGCCCACCTTAAGTCCATCCAACAAATTTTATAGCTATAGAAGCTTGGAATTAGAGGCTTAATAAGCTACATGTCGGGGACCAATATTAGGGTACCCAAAGAGGAGGAGCTAATGACCGTCAACATTGATTCATCCACACGATCAAGAGCGCGACTACACCGCTTACCAGGTCACTTTTCGTCCGTCCACCAAGACCATGGGCCCTGCCTCGTCTGACCCTCGAGGGTTAGCTCCGCCTCGATGGGCGCTGTGGTCGCAGGTCCCGTCTCGCCCGACCCTCAAGGGTTGACTCCGCCTCAGGCTGACTCCCGAGGGCTAGCTCCGCCTCGCCCGATGTCTGAGGGCAGACTCCGTCTCGCCCGATCCCCGAGGGCAGACTCCACCTCGCCCGACGTCTGAGGGCTGGCTCCGCCTCGCCTGATATTCGAGGGCTGGCTCCGCCTCGCCCGGCGTCTGAGGGTTGGCTCCGCCTCGCCTGACGTTTGAGGGCTGGCTCCGCCTATTGTTTTTATTCAAACAATAAGGGCCCGGATAAAAAAGGGAAGAAAACAAGTTCATTCAAACAAAATGAAGTTATGAATTTGTTTTTATAACTGCCGGCACTTGTTCACATATTACAATAAGAGTTCATCCGATCTATTTGACTAACTAGCTCCTCGGGGGGAGAACTATGTCTTCGACTCTGTTCACCAGGTCCCACGCAAGAGGAGCCACCGCCATCTCTATTTCGTCCAGCTTGAAGGTTTCGTAGCTAGGTGCGAAATTGAGGCTTATCATCTCCAAGTCGATGCTGTCCGCGTAATGCAAACGAGCAATCACGAAGGCTTGGGTGATCCTAGCGCGAAAAGCTTCCCTCTCGAGCTGGCGCACCCGCGCCATGATATCTACGGCACGCCCCACAAGCGAACTGGTTCCCTCCGATCGCACCACCTCCAGGTCATCGCAGACCACTCCGAGGGCAGCGCTCAGGAGATCATGCTTATCGCTCTCCGCCTAAATGTTCCTCCGCGCCTCAGCAAGCTCCATGGCCAGCCAGGCGGAAACGCTCTCGGCCTCCAGCCTCCGGGTCATCACGGTTCCGAGCTCGGCTTGGAAGGAGCCGATCCTCTGCTGCGCCTCATCGCGCTCTCGGATGGCCTGGTCGCGCTCCACGCGGGCCGTGCCACGCTCCGAGCGAAGCCTCCCCATAGTCTGGAGCAGCTCGTCTCGCTCCTTGCGCAGTCGGTGTAGGGTCAAGATGGCGACTAGAGGAGGGTGAATAGTCGTTTCTAAAATTTAATTGCGTCGGCTAACCAAAACAAGTGCAGAATTAAAACTATCGGTCTAGCTAAGACTACACCCCTCTATCTATGTTCTCTAGCACCTTGCAAAGATCATAATTAAACAACAAAGGTGCCGGGCTAGCTAGAGCTCACCTAACCAATTCTAGGAGCAAGGTCACACAAACCTATGCCACTAGTATTTCAAGCAATGAGAGAGCTCCTACACATGCTAGTAAGCAAAAGCACAAAGCCAACTAAGCTCACTAGCAATGCTCAATAACAAGGCAACCAATGCCAAATTAGAGAGCGCAAATACTTAGCTACACAAACTAAGCAAAGTGACTAACAAGGTTACACAAACCAAATTAGCCACTCAAGGGAGCTACTTCTATGCTACACAAGCAAGAAGGTAACTAGTGAGCTACACAAGCTAACTTGAAAGGACCTAGGATGCCGCCTAGAGGGGGGGTGAATAGGCGTTTCTGAAAATTAACACCTTTAAAAGCGGAAACAATTAGAAGGGGGAGTTTCCAAAATGGAAACTCCAAATCAAGAGTACTACCACCCCTCACAAGTTAGCCACAAAGTAAACAAGGTATAAAGAATATATCTAGAAGCTACAACCCTGCAACACCAAGTTAGAACAGAGAATAAATATTTTCAAGGTCAGAGACAAGAAATACCGGACGTGTCCGTATGAATACCGGACGTCCCAGATATACGATTTCTGCGCAGATCCGCCCGAACTTGCTCCTTTCGATTTCTATCTTCAAACCAAACCGCAGCACCTAGTGGAGATGACAATATACACAGAGAACTCAGAATCAGCTAGAAACAACACAAATATCAAATGAAATGCGAATTTAGACACGATATTTGTTTTACTGAAGTTCGGACTCGTTCGAGTCCTACTCTCCGTTGAGGGGGGCTGCAGGCGACCCAAATAAGGTCAGCCCTAGAGGATACCACGAAGGTCACTCTAGCCGAGTCTTTTCCAACTCCTTTTCCTCCTTCCACTAATTGATTCCGAGGCGGCGGAATCGACCGTTACAAACTTTCCGAGGCACACCACAATCTCCCGGGTGCTCTCCGGCGACGTCTAACCGTCTAGGACCGAAGAGTCCAAGAGTAACAAATGCGAATCACGAGATTGACAATATGCACAAGTGCTCAAGTGGTTGGATGACTCTCTTTGAATTTCACTCAACCCACAAATTGATTTTGCAAGTTTGATCAATCACTCACTAAGAGAGGGTTGGCAAGGCTCAAAAACGTGTGTCTAAGTCAGTAGAATCAGCAGCCTCCAAAGGTGGAGGCTTGGGGGTATTTATAGCCCCCTTGAAAAACTAGCCGTTTTATAGCCGTTGCAATACCGGACACGTCCGGTATGCATACCGGACACGTCCGGTATGACTCGATCTAAATGTGGTAACTAAGTTACTGATGATGTTGTTAGAGACGTCCGGAACTCCCGGTATGCCGGGACTTCCGACCGTCGGAACTCTCGACTCAAGTCGGAACCCCCGACCCTCAGCAATTTTGAAAAACATGTAA